AATATCTGCTGAGTACTTTGTTTCATATCTGCTACTTGTATAGTGCTCCAAATATGTAGTGTCTTTTGTTGCATATGTGGTTCACTGCAGATAACACTGTAGTGAAATACTTCTGACAGACATTCTTGGGAAAGACCTTCACATTGCATTTTTAATTTTTTTAAATATTGAAATAACCAATCTAGTTGGTATTTTCAAATTGTATCAGATAAGAGTGCAATGTCAAGGTCACATAAGGTCTTTTTTTCTTAAAGATCTTCTTCATAGTATTAGGGTTTTCCTTATTATACTTCTGTGTGTGAGCACAAATTCAAGGATCTAAGTATAGGTATGCTGTCTGAGGATTTCTGTGAAACACCATTATCTTTTATTATCTTGCACTCATCTTTGACATATTGTGATATCTAGGCATTTTATGAGACTTGGCAAAGAATTAATCAGTAGTATGGAAGTAGTATTTACTGAAATGAAAAGCAAACAAAAACAGAAGAGTAGGTACAATGATTATACCACAAAGAGGGCTTGAGAGGGAGCTGGAAAACAGAGACTCTGGCATTGAACACATGGGCTATGTCCCAAGCAGAACCTTAAGGAACTCGGAAATATTTCCCTATTTATCAGAATGCAAACTTCCTGTATATAAGCATAGGACCAGCTTAATAGGAATTACCTTCAAGGTGTTGCTTAGAAGCAGGTATGCAATAGAGTGTCTGTGACAGGAGACAGAGTATAGGGAACATGTAACTGGAACTCTTTGCTTGGATGAATGTGGTCTTTAAAAAAAATTGTTAACATATAATAGTTGTACAGGGGGATACATTGTGATATTTACATATGTACTTAAAATATATCTTAGTTGGATTTACCCCCTCCATTGTTCTCCCTTTTCCCCTCTCCTCCTTCTTAGAAACAATTTCAACAGATTTCATTCTTCTATTTTCATATATGATACAAAATGCATCCACCATATTCACCCTCATTCCCCCTTTCCTTGTGCCCACCTGCCTCCTACTGGTACTCATCCCCAGATAAAACCTATTTTTTCCTCCTGCCCTTCATTTTTTTTTAAAGTGTATATTGATAGTTCAAGAGGGAGGTTGCCTTAGTACTTCAGGCCTGTAAATATTATGCTTCAATCAAATTAACCCTCCCCCTGTTAAATTACTCATTCTCTATCACCATGCTCCCCTAATATTCAACAACATACAGTACAGTGCATTATACTATATCCATATATAGATGAGTTGTTTCAATATTTTTCATTCTTTAATATTTTCTTTACATCTCCTGCCTGAGATCTGCGTGTTCTGTCCTGTAAAGGACATGGAAGCAACCATACAACTGAAAATGGTGCCAAGCAAATCTATCTAAATGACTAAAGACCTGAGAAATCCACTCCAGTTTATGTAGCTTGAGAAAGGCAAGGCTGAGCAATATTTCCAGAGTGTGAAGCTGATATTGTGGTGATGCTATGTCTCTCTTCAGCTTACCTGAAAACAGAATATAAGAGAATTGGTTTTACATTGTAGTATGAGAGAGTTAGGTTAGACAGCAAAAGAAATGATCTATGGCAAAAATCCAGAGATCAAAAAGCTTATTAATTAAATCTGTTTTTTCTGTCTGTACATGTAAAAAATTGAACAGTTAACTTAGTTCCACGTTTTAGTTTCCAGTCACTGTAATGGGCAAGATTTGATTTTTATTTTTCTTCTTTCTGCACATCTAGCCTACATTAACCCCAAACAATACTAATACTGAAAAAATGACAAACTTTCCTTTTAAGAATACATTTCTTTTTGAAGACTAAAGTAAAATTCACATAATATAAAATTCACTATTTAACTCATTCTTAAAAATTCAATGTGGTCACTTTTAGTACATTAACAATGCTGTAAAACCATTGTCACTATCTACTCCCAGAACATTTTCATTGCCCCAAAGGAAACCTTGTACTCATTAAATTGTCATTAGTGTGTATGTGTGTATGAGAGAGAGAGAAAGAGAGAGAGGAGACTGCTCACAATGAATGTCAACATTCATGAGAAACTTTTCAACATCAAATCTATTTGCAATGCTCAAAGAAAATAAAGTCCTGGGAGGATTCTTATCTTTCAGTTAAATGTTTGTGACTTACAGTAAGCATCTGAACTTGAATTTCTCAAGGGTCTAGTCAGTCTTATGTTATAGAACTGTCAACAGTTCTTAAAATTTGCCTATAGTGTTGAGAAAGGTTTGAATATAGTTCCTAAATTAGGGTGAAAAGTTTACATCCAATAGGAGCTCTGTCCTGAGTCTGAGCTCTTCCTGTAATAGTTGGTGATAACCCTATTATTTTTTCAGGTTTTTTATTTTTCTTTCAGGGCAGTGCAGTAGTGACCATCCTTTATTCTGTATTTGTCCTGGTGAGCACATCAGATACAGCAGATGAAACTGAGGATCCTGGTGGGTAAGTAAGAATGCAATTTAAAAGATAAAATAATTAACCCCCCTTTTATTTCCCAAGTATAAATACTTGTTATCAATTTAAATTAGAATATATATTTTATTGTCCTGGAAAATTTAAAATGTTCGTTACCTGTTCAGAAACTTTAAAATATGTTAAAAATGGCTGAGTTCACATGATGGTGCAAGTCCCTATAATCCCAGCACTCTGAAGGCTGAGGCAAGAGGATTGTGGGTTCCAGGCCATCCTGTGCTACGTGGTGAGATTTTGTCTCATAAATAAAATGTTGAAAATGAAACTAGAAAATGATCTTTTTGGCTTTTTTTTTTTTTTTTTGTAATATGATTTAGAGCTTGCTTGGCCTTCTAAGTTTTAACTACATTAACAGGTTGTATAGTCTGTATTCTGGGAAAAATAATTTGGGAAGAGCTCTTCATTTTTCAACTACTCAAATGTTTTTGGAAGAAGGAAGAGACAGTAGAGTCTCGTGATTTAAGCAGTGCTTTGTAATCAAGAACGTCAAAATGTCACTTCACATTTTGCACGTGTTTTGAGGATTTTTATGCCATTTTCCACTCCTTTTCATTTCATGAGCTCCTGCTAATATATTTTGATCATTTGTATTAGTTAGGATTTAGGATTCCTGCACCAAAGCTCAAACATCTCACCAGTCTTAGATCTTGCTTATTTTCTTCCCACATTAACTTTGCTATTTGCATCTCCCATCTCTTCTCACCATGCTCTTAGTTTTGACTTCTGGGGACTCCTTTGGCAGTACTGGGGTTTGAACCCAAGGCCTGGTGTTTGCTAGGCAAGTGCTCTGCCACCTGAGCCACTCTGCCAGTCCACTCATGTGCAGTACTACCACTGTTTCTACAGATACTCTCAGTGTTGAGGTAGTAAGGTTTTTTTTTTTTCTTTAATCAACTGAACTTCCTTTAAAACATCTGGAAATTGGGGACAGCTTAACACTTCTTATGGCACTTTGACAAGGCAAATGTGCAAAGTATCAATATCTTTTGTGCCCTGCTTAAGGACCTATAAACAAAATTCGTTTTTAATAAGAAATCACCATAATGTGAAAGAGACTAATTTACCAGTCCCTGCTTCCTTAACCCTCATCCAAGTGTACTTTGTTCATGTCTCAAGGACCTGTGGATGTATGACCCTCTTCTCCAACTGCAGCAGACCTACTCAAACCTCTCAGAAAAGAGAAAAAAACTTGAAAGTATTGTTCGAAAGGGGAAAAAAAAGAAGGCATGAAAAGGACAAAAAGCAGTTGACAGCAGCAAACTGTAAATCCCCTATCTCTACTCTCCAGACCGTGTCCCAACCGAATCCAGTGGCACCCCGCCCGTAGACCTTTGGGGCTTCTGATTGAGAGTCCAGATACAGGCACGTGTTCATGAGTGGCTCCCTTCCTCACTACGTGTCAGTCCGGCCTGTGCTCGAGGTGTGGGGCCCGGGTGGCGTTTCAATGTGCAGGACCACTTCTGAGGTTTCGGCGAGATTGATTAAGGTAATGCAATCAACTGGCTGGCCAAAGGGAGCAGGTATACTCTAGGGCTTTCTGCACAGAGGGAGAAAAGAAGTCATCAGAGGCTTGCTTGCACCTGGTATTCTTTAGCGGCATTTAACCCACCTCTCCTGGAGGCCACCGAATGGCTTTATCTGGACTGGGCCAGACCCAGGAACCCAACTGGGATAACCGGTATTCCTGGTATGCCTGTCAGACCCCAGGCATATATGGAAGAGAGGCGGGAAAGGGACGCACGGGGGCGGCAGGGTGAGAGGCTCAGAGACAGAAGAGATGGTGAAAGGTTGTGTGGCCTGCTCCCTCCTTACCCTGTCTCCAGGACAGATTTGGAGACCTGAGCTCTGGCCTGGGGTTGCATGGTAACTCGCTGCGGGACTTCACCTTTGCAAGCTAGCCTCCGTTAGTCCTGGGAAGAAGGTTGGACTCTGATCTTTGAGCCCCCTTCCTGCCTTTGATTCTGGTGCTTTGAGGGAAGCCCAGCTCTGCAGTCCTGGGAAGAAGGAAAAACATTCTCTGCTAGGCGGGCCGGAAGGGAAGGCTAGGAAGGCAGCCACTGTGACATGAGCTATATTTATTTAGATGCTTACATTAAAAAATTATTTTAGTTAAAGAGGACCCCTTTCCCCCGCCAGCTGGGACTGGAGCTTTGCACATTGCTGGTCCTGCAGCCTTCCCCACCAGGGTCAGCCAGGTAGCCAGCGCGGAGCGCTTATCTCTACCACTGCCGCTTGGTTTTTTGCACAAAACGTGTCCACGCACTTTGTCTCGCTGGCCAGTCGGATGCCCTCCCGGGGCTTCAGGGACAGCGAGAAACGCTGGCGAGTGGCGATCGCCGAGGCGCAGGGCCGGGTGGAAGCTGGCGCCCACGCGGGCGACCCCTCCTGGGAAGCGCGCGCAGGACGCGGGGACGCCCGGTGTCCCCGAGGGGAGGAGGCGGCGGCGGGAGCTCCGCCCCCGGCGCGGTATAAGTGCGGGCCCGGCCCACGGCGGCGGCGGCGGCGGCGGCGGCGGCGCAGGAGCTGGCTCAGGGTCTCCGGCGGCCTGCGGAGCTTCCCACCGCTTGCATAAGGCTTTGCTTTCCAACTTCAGCTACAGTGTTAGCTAAGTTTGGAAAGAAGACGAAAAGAAGACCCCCGGGCAGTTTGTCTTTGGTTTTTCCTGCCATAGTAGCCGTTGGGGTCTCTTTACACACAGGCTGTTGTCTTTTCAGCGGTGCTCTCTGCAGGTCCCAGCTCTCCTGCTAAACAGCTCCTCTGCAAGAGCAGCGGTCCCAAACAGCAGCTGACCACCGAGCAGAGGGACAGCGCCTGGTGTCATGACCAGGGCAAGGGATCAAACCCGGCAGGAAGGATGCTGTGGTGAGTTGTGTGACCCAATGCATGTGGGGGAAACAAGTCGGGTGCTGGAGGCCAAACAACTCCTTGAGGGGTTTGGAGGAATGCGGTTAACTAGAGTCCTTTGTAAAAGCACCTTTGAATTCTGGTTTGACGGGGTTAAGGGAGAAAATAAGTTCAAACTATGAGTAAAAGCCCTTGCACATAGGCAAGGATGGAGTAGGTTGGGTGGTTTGGATTGCCTTGTGAAAAAAAATGAAGCTAAAGAATGTTGAAACAAGGGTTTCTCCACTTTGTGTGAAGTTATGCAGTTATTGACCAATAATAGGTCATAATGAATTTAACTGCATGGTATTAAGTAAACTAAACTCATCAGTTCATAGGTGATTTGATGAAAGGTACATGGTTTATCTTACACAAATAATCATGTTTTAATAAAAGCACATAGATGAGTATTCAAACCTCAGCTCATTCAGTGACTAAATGCGCTTTTTTTAAAAAAAAAAAAATCTTCCTCCTTGTGTGTCTTTTCAGGATCCTTTACAAACTACCTGACATCTGCAAAATTCCTTCTCTACCTTGGCCATTCCCTCTCTACTTGGGTAAGTGACAATGTGCAAATCATTACAATATAGTTGTACACTTTCTTGTTTACTTTCATTGGTGCCAGTTCTATTGAGCCAACTTCCAGTTTTGTCATGCTGTTAAGAAATAAATCATTCAAAGACATGTGCTTTAATTAAAAAGTTATTTTCATCAAAGTTATTTCTTGTGGTGTTAGTAAATGCTATTTAATTATCAAGTTATGGAACTGTGTATACATTGACAACTATCCAAAGACAGGTTTAACAAGGACAGGAATGCTTGTGTTGTTTATAAGTTGTAAATGTTAATATCTGCTTCTAAGAATGGAAAGGATGTCTCATATTCCTTGTATTCTTTCACATTTTAAGATATTATTGTTTTCTTCTTTTGTTAAAACTTAGTTGCAGCCTGCAGCACTATGACAATATGGTAGAATGGTACAGTGACAGACTTAGGGTTATAATAGCATTCTAAGACTAAAATATATGACACCAAGATCAAATATCTGAATGATAAAAATTCTGGTCTTCAAAAAATATTGTATGTGGATACATAATATATATACATAATGAGCTGTCTTAAAAACCATTGTCCAATGAAAATTAGCAACTGATTCACAGTTTCTACCTCCAACTACCTATGTGGATTTGGAAGAATCCCAGTGTTTCTGTTGGCCTGGGTTCCTTCATCAACCACCTCCCCAAAATAATCCTAGAAGGGTGATGAGTATGTGTTTAATGATGATTAGAATCCTTAAAATTAAGCAACTGTTTTTATTGCTGAAAAGCTATAAATCTTAGTATATTCTGTGCATGCCTCATAGATGAGGTTTAGTTGAAAAGAATATAGGTAGGTAAGAAAGAATTCTGAGAGTAAAATTTTTAATGTTGATTTCTTTTTAAATTGGAAATTTCTGTTGGATCATCCTTCAGACATTTATGGAAACAATTATATGAGGAAATTTTTACCCTACGCCCTTAGGAAATTATTAAGTTAGGTTATTGGCTCTCAAAGAAATAGCAGTCCAGAGATGACTTTTTAGAAAAGCAAGTATCTATCTTCCCAAATGCTTACACAGGGATGACTTTGCAAATACATGTGAACAAAGTGGAGTTGGCATGAGTTTGTTTCAATTCCAATAGCCAATGCGTCTAAGTAAAAACCTAATGAAACAACCCTTGATGAGTCTAAATCAATAGCTAGTTCTTCCAGTTTAACTCAGTAAGTATTAAGTAAAAGGAGAACAATAGCAGATAATGGAAATAGTGCCTAATATGCTCAGTTTGTGGCCTAGACATAGAACCAAGGTTTCTTATTGCCAAACACTAATTAAGTTTAAGGTTATGTGACCTTCGGTTGGTAGACCAGGTGTCAGATTACCCCAAAACACAAATGGAGCTATGGTTGTCTCAGGAAGATTTTCTGTTAAGGATTTTTTTTATGTTGAAGAGGATTTAAAAAAATCCACAAGAAGGGTAACAGATACCTGTCCCAACCTAACCGTACAGTGAGCAAAGGAAGACCTTGTGAGAAAGTTGAATTGACAAAACAACAGAAACTACAACCATCTAAGGCTTAGTATACTTTTATTTTTCTCATTGCAAAGGAACACAAAAGAGGAATGCTTTCTAACTCTAGGTAATCCTATTTTTGCCCTTTGTCTCTTGTGTGACACTCTGTCTGATTTTATTATACCAAAATATGTGTTTATGTAGACATGTATGAATATCTATTTTTCTATTCCCTTGCCAAGTCACGATTTTCTAAACATTTAATATTGGGGCTTTAGGGTGTAAGATGATCTCAGGTTAGGTTGGGATGGGGTTGAATGCTTTTTTATTTCTTACTTCATTTCTATCTGCCAGTGGAGCAATATGTTTATTCTGTAGTATTCAAATACAAAATAGTTTAAGAAATGGATCCTTTTGTTAAGGAGGTTATAATATAATTTAGTATGGGCTTTATAAAAATAGCAGTGTAAGGCAATGAAAAAGAGGAGCCAGTTGCTTGCATTTTATCTCATTATCCTATGGTCTGTCTCCATTTAACCCTAGGTGGTCTGTATTTTTCCAGTTCTCACTTTCTGCAGGCCTCTATTCTCTGCTGAGAGAGACCTCTGTCACTACTTCATGTAAAATGACAACCTTCAGCCCTTTCCTACATTATTTTTCCTCATAGCACTTACCATCACCCAGCTTAGGCTAGATTTGTCTTTGGCCTCCGTGCACAGGGTTGTGAGCTGTGTGAAAGCAGAGACTGTGATTTTTGTGTATTGCTGTAGTGCTAGCTTTGAGTACATAGCACCCACTCCATAGATACTTATTGAGTGAATTAATGACCACAGGTCCATGTAAACACATCATCAAAATTTGGGGAGAACACACAGGAGGGCAGAAAACAGAATCACGGAAGCAGTGGGTGGATACTTGATCAATGTTTGTTTAGACTTTACCCAGTTCTTGGTCATTTTGTGAACATACACTATTGCTTCTTAAGTCCAAGTCCTTTGGAAACTGGGGTAACAAGCAATTTCTATCTCATAATTCAAGGTCCTAATCTTATTAATTTTGAATTTGGGTTCAAACTTACATAATCCTTTTTACCAAAGTTTCTCTACCTCTGCTCTATTGATGTTTTGGGACAGAGAATTCTTTCCTTTACATTTTAGATGTCAGTAGAGGTACTACCTCTACCTCCCTGCGGTTGTGATAACCTCAAAGAACTCCAGACGTTGGCAACTGATCACTGGAGGGTGATTAAGAACTATATGGTTTTCATAGTGTCCATGAGGTTTATTATAAATAGTTGCTAATGTGTATCCGTTTAAGCTTTGAATATTTAAGACTGTTGTCTTGGCTTAATTAAATTTTAAAAAATTGTTTTTAAAATAATAATTTGCCTCCAATAAGTGAAATTCGTGAGGATGTTGACAGACTTTGGGAAGATCTAGGAGTTTTAAGTGCTTCCACGTAGGGTCAAATCTGTAAGGAACTCAACCTGGGAATTAAGTGACAGGTAATGAGAGAACATTGTCATTTATGCTTACTTCAAAAGTCAGGGATGGGGCTTAAAAGTCCATTATAGTTTTCCTATATATTAATTTACCTGACTTATTTCAAAGTTTCTGTTAAGCTACTACCACACTGTATACAACAAACTCTAAAATTCCCTGTATACTCTGCAGTTATATGAAGAAATATTTTTTTCTTCCTTTCAAAATTCACCTGTATTAAAATGTTTAACTATTTACTTATACATTTATTTCAACATCTTTGTTCATGCAGTGCCAGAATTTACCCAATAAAGGGAATAAGATTTCATCTTTCTGGTTGCTCTGCTGTTTTATAACTGTGAAATTTACTTGTGAAACAGAGCACATATTTTAGAATCTTAGAGGTGAAAGAACTTCAGAGATCATGTAACCTTTCTATCATTTTACAATTTGAGAAGGTGGCTTCTTTTTAATATTCATAGTATATTAATGCTTATAAACTATACTGTAACTTAATTTTGGTTCAATAACAAACTACTTTATAACTGTCAAATTAAGAAAGGCAAATTCCACACCTGGGAAGAAACCTGGCACACAAGATAACAGGTTTTGTCTCAAAAATCCACCTTAAGTTTTGAAAACTTTCTAGAATAATAATTCATTAATATCATGATTTTTTTCAAGTTTACTTAGTAATTAGGATATTCTCCATTGTGCTGGCATGAATAGTTTTAACATCTGACCACTGTTCAATCCATAGCGGAATTATTAGCTTTGAAAGTATTCTTATGTAGCCAGATAGTACTCATGATAAGGAAATAACTTCCTGCATACAGCAGACTAGAAACTAAAAATATTTCATTGAAACATTTTCTCTTATTCAAGGGAGATCGGATGTGGCACTTTGCGGTGTCTGTGTTTCTGGTAGAGCTTTATGGAGACAGCCTGCTCTTGACTGCAGTATATGGGCTGGTGGTAGCAGGGTCTGTTCTGGTCCTGGGAGCAATCATCGGTGATTGGGTGGATAAGAATGCCAGACTGAAAGGTAAGTGCCCTTACATAACTAAGCCCCTGTATTCATGGGACCAGCCCCTGTATTTCCTCTGTAACACAAAGAACATCAGACTAAGAGACATCACTGTGCCTAACCCAGTGAGTGTTTGCCCACCATACTGGATGGATGGGTTTGGTGGCAGCTCTTCTGGTTTTGGGATCCTGGGGCTCCTTCACAAGTGAGGATGTCAGAACATTGACCTAATAGATTTTTTTTTTTTTTTTACTTTTTGTCAGTTCATAAATTTCAAATGTTAATGATTAATGCTGTAGCCAATTTTCTGGGAATCTTGTTAAACATTAAAAGTTTGCTTAGCTTTGGCTTCCTTTCTAAACATGAATTGCACTGGAGTCCCTCTAGTGTGGTGTCCTGGGGCAGCTTTAATATCTGTGCCCTGGATTACTGTGTTTCACATAAAGGCATGTAAGGGAATTGAAAACTATTGGTTCAGGGGAGGGTAGCTGAGCATGGATCACAGGTAGATGAGTCACATTTTTTCAGGCAAAAAGAAGAAATAGTAATATATTGACATTTATCCTAGAGCATTAAGACTGAAATCATTCTGTTTTATACAGGAAAGAGAGAAAGTAATTAAGCAACTTAGGTTTTTAAGATATAAGGGCAACGTGGATAATCATTTGGGGTAAAAAATGTCTTGAGCAGCGGCTCAACTGAGCACAGTTGATAACGCAAGAGCTGGTCATGTCCATCTTAGATGGGGAAAAATTAGGTATGGATGGTCTCTTTCAATTTAGAATCAGTGCTCCTAGATATAGAGGAATAGAATTATCAAATTACAGGAGTTGAACCTCCTCGTAAGATGATCCAGATAAATATTTTTCTGTTTTGAGAATGGATAGACCAGAACACATATATAAGAAAAGTTCTGTATCCTAGAAAAAAAAATCCTTATTTATATCATTTTACCTAGGAAATAGGAATATTATACACAGAACCCTTTGAAGCTTATAATTGTTGAACAGTGCAAGCACAAGTTAAGAGAGCATGTTGAGTTGGAAGAAGAAGAGTGTGGTGGGGTACAAATCTCGCTCTTATATACTCAACTCATATGTCACCCTTCATGAAAAGTCTTTCCCATTGTCTGTAGGCTGAGTTCATTTCTTCCTCCGTGCTTCCACTAGGCTTTGTTATACCTTTGCTTTTCATGTATTGTTATCTCTTCACATATCTTTCCTTTTTTTGGTCTTTGGGGTCCTGAAAGCTAAGAACCTTATTTAATTGATATTTAATCATTGTGCAATGAAAGAATGGATGAATAAGTGAATTATATGTTGGGATTTAATTTCAGACTGCTTTCAGAGAGCAGTTTGTTTTGTGTTGAGTCTTTGATACGACCTTCCAAGTCAGAATGAGCTTTACTATTCTACCTGACAAGAGGTATAATTATACCTTACTTTTTTCAAAGTGCTTTCATAAGTATTTTATTTGAGTATCATTATGATTCCATAAAGCAAGGAATGCAGATGTTACTATCCTCATTTTCTAGACACAGGCATAAGAGACATTACATACCCTGCCCTAGATCATGTACCTAGTGAGTGTCAGAGAAAAAACTACCAGGTGACCTTATCTGGCCTTCCTCTAGCACTTTATCTGTAGGAGAGTCGCACTCTAAGAGATTTGGCATTTTCTGTGATGGAAGGTGTAGCAGTGACCAATAGCATTACTATGTCAAAAGGAGTTCATTGCTGCTTTATTTTTTAACAAAGTTTTGCATGTTTTCTCTACTTATCCACACCCTTTTATCAGATTAAACCTTCTACGTAGGAGGTTATGGATTCTACAACTTGCTCCTTAACCTCCTACATGTTCTTGCTTTAGCTTAAGCAACAAAAGACTGAGAGATGGATCTTATTTATGTAATAGTTCTGTTTGTGACAGAATTTTCAAGAGATCAAGTTTGAAAATGTAGTTATTATGAAAGACTTCAACTAACAGAAAAAAAATTGTGGGTACTTCATTTTGTTTGCAGATTTTACTGGGTTATTGTGACCTGCTAGGTTATCCTGGGGAGAGTTGAGGCAAATTTACTTTGGGAAGGTTGTTTTTTCTTCTAGTAATTATATATATATCAATGTAGACCAATGATGTGACTACACATGTTGGAGTAGAGAACTTTATGTTTTTTCCTCTGTACAGTGGCCCAGACTTCACTGGTGGTCCAGAATGTTTCGGTCATCCTGTGTGGCATCATTCTGATGATGGTTTTCTTACATAAAAAAGAGCTGCTGACCATGTACTATGGATGGGTCCTTGTAAGTTCTCCACAAGATTCTTGATGGTAGTGGTAAAGATGAAGACGCTTTAAAACTAGAAAGTGTCTTTTTGTTTTTTTTTTAAAATGTGACTTTTTGATATTGATTTCCACGTCTACAATATCCTCTATACTTTGGTATTGTTTTGTCCATAATAGACAACCATTAAGTGTTTTTTTAATTTAAATTTATCCTATTGGTTTTTAATGCTATTTCTGAGAGTTTATTAAAAATTCAGTTGTTGCTAGGTGCTGATGCCCCATGCCTATTATCCTAGCTATTCAAGAGACAGAGATCAGGAAGAATCACGGTTCAAAGCTAGCCGGGCAAATACTTCATGAGATCCTATCTCAAAAAAACCCATCACAAAAAAGGGCTGGTGGAGAGCTCAAGGTGAAGGCCCTGAGTTCAAACACCAGTACTGAAAAAAGAAAAAATTCAGTTGTTGGTTTTCAGCTTTTTTCTATTTTTGTCCTGTAAGTTATTCACACTATATAAGAATTATTTTCCATATTTATGTGTTAATTAGTAATAATGTGTTTCTCCAATAATAATTATTATTTCTCTTTGGGGATATCAGTTGTATAAGTTTCTACAGTATGGTTTCAAGATAGTTTGATGGGAAAGAGGAGAGGGATGGATGCAATGGAAAACAATGGATCTGGGGTTACTTTTGAATCTTCGTGTTTATTGGGAGTCATGTTGTAGCATTTCAAAGCTAGATAGAATATTAGAAATCTTCATGTCTGTTCCCTTCATTTTGTTAATAACAATATTAAGACAAAATATGGTTGACTGATTATTCATTATCATGCAACCAGAAACTTAAAGACGGGTCTTCTTGATTCTCCTTTGATATCTTTTCGATGGACATGTTTTGTGGGAGAAATGTTAAAAACCACCACTATATTTATTACCATTTTCTAATAACTATGTCACATTAATGTTCATATGACTATTGTAATGTCTGCATTGTATATGCTACAGATGATACAGATTAGGTCAATAGTATGCCCTTTAACTTGACCAGTGGTACTCAGTTGTGTTATGAGTACAAAGTAAAATGATTTCTTATAAATAAAAGTAAATTTTTTTTTTTTTACAATTTTGTCACCCATGACTATCTTAAATTACCTTGTATAGCGAGGTAATTTAATTTAATTGAGACGTGTTGACTCAAATTTTTCTTTAGACTTCCTGCTATATCCTGATCATCACTATTGCAAACATTGCAAATCTGGCCAGTACTGCTACTGCAATCACAATCCAAAGGGACTGGATTGTCGTTGTGGCAGGAGAAGACAGAAGCAAATTAGCAGGTAATTTGGTTTACTTTTTCAACTATTTGGGTATGTTAGGTGTCATTTTAAATCACTGGACTAAAGGAGGCTTTTTGTTGTTCTGGATATGTTTTAAAAACAATAAATTGAAAGCATAGTTTTTTTTTTTTACCTTATTGTTGTTAGTCTTAGTGCAAGGACTTATCTAATGGTTATGAAGTTAATTTATAGGTTAGCTAACTATTCTTTTATTCTGGCAAATGGAAGAACAGCTCTTTTGAAGTTTTCCTTTTCTTTTTTACTTTTAGATTCTATTAATTGTTTCTAAATACTTATTTAATGTTTATAACAGTGAAAATCTGATATGGCATTTTACCAGTAATACCTATGGACATTATTACTTGTACTTACGGATCATACTATGGATATTATTTATTTTCCTCTCCAAATGGAAACAATATATTTGTAGTTAGTTTCTTCTACCTTAAAATTAGAATGTACAACTTTTATTACACGTATAAGAGGTAATAGAATTACAAAGCAACATATCCTATTACATCAATATTGCTTGGGCTCAGAATACCCTCTCTCACTTGATATTCTCCCCTCCTTCCATAACACACAAATATGAATTGGATTGATAGTTGCACAGGATAAAGGAGGAAGGTTACACCTAACTACTGGTCAGAGCAGCTGAATTGACTCTACTCATCATTAAGATAATGAGTATCACAAACACATTGCCCAACCATACTGACAGACACAAACACCATTCTTGATGACTTAAGTGGCTTACCCTAGGACACAAAAGGCAAGAGTACGTGCTGGAATTAGCAAGCAGCTTTGTTTGACTGGACCTTGTGGTTAACAGAAAAAAAAAAAGATAGAAAGGAGATGAGGATTGAAAGAGAACAAAGTCTAAGGAAGATCTAGAAGAAGAGTTTGCTTGAATCCTTATCTTGTGGTAACAGTGTTACAATCTAGATAGAGACCCACAGTGGTGTTTAGAGGGGGTGTATGTGCAGGATGAGTATGGTGGGTGACTGCACTGCAAGAAGTTCTCATTGACTTTTTCTGTGATTATGCATGATAAGGAATGATTCCACAGCTTTTTTTTTTGTCATGTTGAATGAGAAGATAAGGCTTTGTTCTTTTTTGTTTACTTTCTCTTTTTAACATACTATTTTAAACATCCACGATTTAAAATTCAAAGGGTACTGAAGGATATATTTTGAAAATAGGTCACAAATGTATTTCTTGAAATATATTTGAGGGGGAAAGTGGCTTATAAGAAATTTTCTTTCACTTATCTGCATTTCTTAAGTGAAGATTCTACAAAGTCTATTAAATGAAAAGGTTATTTTATTCCATAAAATAGCTTTGCTAAAGAGAAAGTTACTCAGAATCTTTTGCTGGTCCTAATACATACACATAAATAAAAACACAAAGATCTTACCTAACCATGTGGGTTTTTCTGACTATGGAATGAAGTCTTAGAACAACAACAACAACAAATGCTACTTCATTCCTCAGCTGTTCCTCTTTATATTATGAATTATTGAGAGTAGAAGAATCTAGGCCAAGCAGTTTATTTTCTAACCTTCTGGAGTTTCTCAAGATTAAGAAGGGAAATAAGCTGTTGAGCTCTTTCTTATCTGCTCTAAGTTAACTTTTAGTAAGTGGTGCTCTTTCACATCCAGACAACGGTGAAGATTAGTAGACTAATGAAGAAAAACCTGCATGTTTTCTTTCTTGGAGCTTTAAGCTCAACATTTGTGTTAATTAAAAACCATGTTTCAAAATAGGATACAGGCACTTCTTTAGTTCAGAGGGTCAGCAGATGTCCAACTGTGTATTTTGGGTGTTATTTCTGCTATAATGCAGAGTTAAAGGAGAACAGAGAAAAAAGGAGGTAGATGAAGGAAAAATGGGAGAGAGAAGGGAAAGAGGTAGAGTTTTTAGTGAACTGTAGGGGCTGCTTTGGGTTCCTGTGAGTTTGTATCTGTATACAGACATACCTACTCCAGTTAGGAATAACTTATGTTTTTGCAGGCTGATTTTGGTGGTGTTGCTGTTTTGGCAGTACTGGGGGTTAACTCTGGGCTTTATACTTGCTAGGGAGTCACTATACCACTTGAGTCACATATAGGCTGATTTTTGAGGTTGTTGGCTAAGACTGTTCGAATACCAGGTAGAAAACTAGGCTGAGAAGGCTTCGTTTTGTGTGTGTGTGTGTGTGTAAGATAAACAGATGTGCAAATAGAGTAAAGATTGTGAGGTAGATGCTAATTGCTCCCATTCCTTTATCCAAGCATTTCTTGATTTCAAAGGCACTTTTAAAATTGGAAGCTCTATCATTGAGGGTAAAGAACAGGAGAAAGCATCTAGTTTAGAAATCTCTAGAAAAGGGATTTTTTTCACATAGATAGTTGTCTGTTAACTAAGTTAGGTACTTTTCAGGTACTTCATTTAGTATCTTATGAAATCATTCTCTTGTGCCTATCCTTCCTGTTTGAAATTCACTTCTTGTGCCCAGACTTTTTAATCCATCAATTGCTTTATTTCCTTAGTTGATGGCTTTTTATTACAATCTTCTAGGTTTTACTTGTTAACCATTCTAAAGAAAAATCTGCTGGCTAGCTTTGATCAAGTATGACAGATAAATTTCATGTTTGAACTCTTGATTTAAAATTGATTTCAAGGGGGTGGGGGGCAGAGGAAGGGGGCAGAGTGGGTGGTAAGGGAAGGGGTGGGGGCAGGGGGGAGAAATGACCCAAGCCTTGTATGCACATATGAATAATAAAACAATTAAAAAAATAAAATAAAATAAAATTGATTTCATGTTTGAGGTAGACAAACCTAGCTACTATTTTTTCAGCAAATACTTTTAAAATTATTCCTCTATAAGATGTAATATATCCTTTGTAATAAAAGAAGTTATTTAATATCATGTTTTGCCACAATTATAGCTAAAGATAGTTAAATTGGAACCAAATAAGTACACACTTGTGTGTTTATATAAGACTAAACTTATAAAGAACATATGCTTACACACTCAGAAAACTGATTCTTTTCTAGTTTGTTACCAGTAAAATGATAGGTCTTGTAAAAAAATAACTTAATTCACTCTGCTTCAGAAAGCTGTTTTCTGACCCTATATTGACCCTATATTGTATTGTTAAAACATTGTTAACTTCCTAAGTATCACATAAGAGATAGAAATTGGTGATCTTGGGAAGCTCTGTGAACACGGAAAACTTAGGTAGCAAAAGAATAACAAAGAATTTTAATTTTTTTGTTGTAATGAGGCTTTCAGGTCTACCTATTTCTTTAGTTACTAGCTTTTTGGATTAAAATTGCTGAGTTATTAGGATAAATTCCACACTTCTCTGTTGTCATATATTTTGGAAACTTATCAGTGGGGCACATGGGAGTTAGGGAAACCTCTGCATAGATGGTCACATGGAAGATTAATGAATGCTGCCTTTGCCTTTCAAGTGAAAGGTGAAATATATCAAAGTTCTCCCGTTATCATGTAAGCATTGTACACTCATAGGTCTAATCAGAAAATAATTAAAGACCAGAAAGAATTAGAGAAGGAATAAAGGCAATTTTCCATTAATGTATTTATTAGTCACATACTGCTTTTCCTTAGTGACCCAAGTGATTGTTAAAGACTTAATCTCATTAATTTTCATTCTGCTCTTGAGATAGGGAATGAGGAAGTAGGTCATTTTCTTAGCTTCCTCCGCTTTATTTATCTTGTCCTCAACTTTGACACAACTATTCAATCTTATGGTGAAACTCTAGACCACCATTCAATACTCCCCTTGTGTAACCTCAATCAATCTTTGTCATCCATATCTTGAATTACCACCTTCTGTCTTTCCAGATTCCACTTTCACTTGGTTGGCATCTTATAAATCACTAATTCCACTGTCTTTTCACTGCTCATGATTTCTCTCTAGTTTCCCAGTTTAGATTGCAATGTTAGTCATGTTGATATGCTTACATCCTAGGGCATTCGCTCTGCTCAATTGGCTCCTTCTCCTTTTGTGACTTCCATTCACGAAGACCCTGGTTAACCCCAACTGTCCACAGTAGGACATGACTGGAGAAAACCACATGACCTTGCTTGGTGCTGTCACTTAGAGTTTATGATAACACAAATGGTGTCTCCTTGAGTTAGCACCAGTCTCTTGAATCGACTTTAATCAAGCATTTGCCCTTCCTGCTCTACTCTATTTGAGAACCCTAGTATCTTTTATATGACCAAACAAGAGTTTCTTCTGAGTACTCATTTTTCTTGACCTGTCAGCAGCACTTGACACAGTTGATTTTACCCTCCCCTTTGGAACAGTGTCACCTTGATTTCTAAGACACTTCACTCTCCTGATTGTTATCCTTTTTTGATAGATATTACTCACTTTTCTAACCTCTAATTATGGTGGGTGTGTCCAGCACTAAGTCCTCAGACACAGTCTCTTCTACATCTATACACACTCCCTTGTGATTCCATCTAGTCTCATTGCTTTGAAAAGTAACCAACTGATGACTTCCATCTGGCTCATACTGCTTTCCTAAACTATAGCCTCATATATTTCATCATCTGCCTCTAGATGAAGCTTCCTAAATGTCAATAGGTCTATCAAAATCAACATCTCCAAAACCAAACACTTGTTCTTTTCTGTCAAACCTGATTGTTCTGAAGTCTTCTGCTTGTCAGTAAATGGCAACTCAGGAAAAACAACACAAAAGCAAAAACAAAAAATTTAGAGTCATCCTTGATTCCTCTTCTCTTTCACATCCATATCTAATCTGTTGCAAGTTCTCCTGATTCTACCTTTAAAGTATGAACAGTATCTGTTTCTCCACGTTTTCACTGTTACTTTTCTGTCTGAACTATCATCCGCTACTTACTTCTTTGTCTCTGGTCTTGTCCACCACCTCCCTAACCCCCCTTCTACTGTCATTTTGTAATATAGTAGTCAAAATGAACCTTTAAAAATATACCAGATTATGCCACCTTTGTGTTTCAAAACCTTCCAAAGCATTCCTGACTCAGAGTAAAAGTCGAAGTCCATATAATGTTCACAAGACCTTACGTGACCGGGCCAGTCTTCTCTCACTCTCTGACTTCATCTCTTCTGCTCCAGCCCTGATGGTTCTCTAACAGTCTGGGCCTGTCCCTTCTGTCCTAGGATGTTTGCATTTCCCTTAGTCTGAAATTCTCTTTTTACTGATACATGAATGAGGTACATGCTCATTCTTGTACCTCCTATTTCAGTTCTTTGCTGTGATCACCCTTTTTTTTTTCCCCGAGTCCCCTGACATCTATGCCCTTTTCTGTCTAATTTCTAACCGTAGTATTTAATGAACATGTTATATATATGTTCATATTTTTATATATTTGCTTGTTATATATATATATATATATATATATATACACTTTTATATATAAATGTAATTGTTTTATGTATTTGCTTGCTGATTTATTGTCTTTCATTTCCTAAGAGAATGTAAACTTCATGAAGACAGGGAATGTTGAGAATGGTGCTCATCTTGTAACAGGCATTTAATAAGTACTTGCTGAAAAAATGTATAGTCATCATTTTGTTCATTTTAAAGCTCATGGTAGACTAATTTCTATAATTCCAAAGTAATCACAATTTTTGAGGCAAATTTAGTGTGACTCAATCCAAACAACAGTTTTTCTAGCAAATGGTTTGTTCAAAGATTGCATTTAGAGATGTGGTCTACCCCTTTGTGTTTCTTTCGTACATGGGAGTTTCTCTTTGATGGGTTTGAACTCTCACCTGACTCTTCCACCTCCTGCCATAGATATGAATGCCACCATTCGAAGGATTGACCAGCTAACCAACATCTTGGCCCCCATGGCTGTTGGCCAGATTATGACATTTGGCTCCCCAGTCATCGGCTGTGGTTTTATTTCCGGATGGAATTTAGTGTCTATGTGTGTGGAATACTTCCTACTGTGGAAGGTTTACCAGAAAACCCCTGCTCTAGCTGTGAAAGCCATTCTCAAAGTAGAGGAAGCTGAACTGAAACAACTGAATGTACACAAAGGTAAACTGAACAAAATGGTCATTTCTTTATTCTGATGTTCAGACCTTAAATGTTGGTAAAGATCTAAACTAGTTTGGATTTATACCAGGTTTTATTTCCAGTGAAGTAGTTGAGGCAAAACCAGAGGTCTGGGGAACAACTCTGGATTGAACCTGAAGGGGTTGGAATGGGACCCTTGGTTCTTTTTCTTGGCATGAACAGTTAGTGCAGAGTTGCACAGAAGGGAAAACGGAGTCAGAGCTGGGAAGACAGCTGGGCACCTGATGGCTCACGCCTATAATCCTAGCTACTTAGGAGGCAGAGATCAGAAGGATTTACCCTGGGTGAATAGGGTAAATAGTTCGTGAAACCTTATCTGGGAAAAACCCATCACAAAAAAGGGCTTGGGGGAGTTGCTCAAGGTGTAGGCCCTGAGTTCAAGCCCTAGTACCACAAAAAATAAAAACTAAAAAAAAAAAAAAGAAAGAAATGGGAAGACAGTGGGAGAAAGAAAATGAGAATTCCTTGGAGTTTCTGAAGAAGGGAGTTGCATGGCCATTGTAGAATAGTGAATTAAAGTAAGGACATGAAGAAAGGATTTCCTAGCTGGGTGCCAGTGACTCACGTCTATAATCCTAGCTACTCAGGAGGCAGAGATCAGGAGGTTCCTGGTTCAAAGCCAGCCTTGGCAAATAGTTCTTGAGACCCTATCTCAAAAAAACCCATCACAAAAAGGGCTGGTGGAGTTACTCAAGGTTTAGGCCCTGAGTTCAAACCCCAGTAGCACACACACAAAAAAGAATTTCCCAAGAGAAGAAGAAATTGGGCTTCTGGTAAATGGTGTCTTAACAGGGCTCTAAAAAATAAGACACTGCATTTTCCCAATTTTTATATTTTATCTGATGAATTTTCCTGCTATGCCTCAATGGGAATATAATTTCTAAGAAAGAAATTTATAGTTTTTCAACAACTTGGAAATTGTTCTGTGGCTGGAATTATTAGATTCTTAGATTATTAATAAAAGGAAAAATATATATTGTAGCAACCAACCAAGGGAACTCATAATGGAGGAGAATATGAAAAAATAATTGGCTTTTCCTCCCTGTGCCTCACTTAAAAATAACAATACCTCTTCTTAACAGATACTGAGCCAAAATCCACAGAGGGAACTCATCTAATGGGTGAAAAAGAGCCAAAGATTCATGAGCTTGAATGTGAGCAAGAGCCCACCTGTGCCTCCCAGTTAGCGGAGCCCTTTCGCACCTTCCGAAGATGGATGGGTCTCGTACTACAACCAGCCGGTGTTTCTGGCTGGCATGGGTCTTGCTTTCCTTTATATGACTGTCCTGGGCTTTGACTGCATCACCACAGGGTACGCATACACCCAGGGGCTGAGTGGTTCCATCCTCAGTATTTTGATGGGAGCATCAGCTATAACTGGAATAATGGGAACTGTGGCTTTTACTTGGCTACGCCGAAAATGTGGCCTGGTTCGGACTGGTCTAATCTCAGGATTGGCACAGCTCTCCTGTTTGATCTTGTGTGTGATCTCCGTGTTTATGCCTGGAAGCCCCTTGGACTTGTCTGTTTCTCCTTTTGAAGACATACGTTCTAGGTTCATGCAAGTAGAACCAGTGTCTACAACTACCAAAATACCTGAAACCATCTTTACAACTGAAATGCACATGTCAAACGGGTCTGATACTGCTAACACTGTCCTAGAGATGAGCACTAAATCTGTGCCCATCATCTCCGTCAGTCTGCTGTTTGCAGGCGTCATTGCTGCTAGAATCGGTAAGAATTTCCTTTTTGTATATCAATGATTTGAAGTATCTTTTTGAAAAGTTGTATAGAGTATTCATCAATAAATGATCTGAACTATTTCTTGGATGATAATATAAGCAAAATCCACTATGTATGTATATAATTCAGTCTTTAAACATGATTGCTTTATTTTTAAAACTTATATTTATGTATGTGATCCCTAGCCCTTTAAAGGAATATCTTAAGTATTACTCTTTTTATTTTTTTTTGGTGGTAGTGGGGTTGAACCCAGGGCCTTCTGCATGCTAAGCAAGTGCTCTATCACTAAGATTCATCCTCAGCCCTTGAATTTTACTCTTTTAATGTAATTTCATTTTTAAAAGATATTAGCTATGATACTTATATTGCCATCTAGTAACTCTATCAAAGGAACTGTAATTTAGAGAAAGCTTCTATGGGATAGCATTAAAGAGGTTGGGTTTTTTGTTTTTTGTTTTTTTTTTTAAAACATGGTAGTTGTAAATGACCCTGCCAGCATCCCCTCTCGCTGATGTGTGTTTATTTCATACTTTGCCACACAAATGGATTTCATAGCTCTGGAAGGAAACAAAGACTTCTTACAAAGCAAATCCAAGTAATCATTAATAGACTACTGATGAATAATCTCTGAATTCATTCTTGAAATGAAACCATATTTATCTTTGATACAAAGCAATTCATTAGTTTATCAAAGACATTAATATTCAAGCAAGACAGCTTTATTGTAAGGGCTATAGAACTCAAGCAGTAAAGGTAACTGTGATTTAAAGTTTCTTTATTCTTTTTTTTTTTTAGGCGGTATGGGGTTTGAACTCAAGGCCTCTTGAGCCACACCTCCCAGACTTCAAAAGTTTCCTTATGCTTTAGTCACAATAGTGTGTTAGGACATTTAAAATTTAAAAAATACTGGACCTTATGGGATCTATGTCTCTGATTTCAGAGTTTTGCTTTTATAATATAAATAATCACAGAAAAACAGAACTAAGGCAGTTGTAGATTAGATTTGTTTTTGTCTAGTGTCTGAAACAAATTTCTTAAAGCCATGAATAACTCAATATTTATTAATGAAAAGAAATTCTTGAAGGCAAGGTTGATTTAAAGGCAGCTGGGCTAAAATGTGGATTTTGCATATGTCAACAGATACCTGAATAATCTGAAATAAGTGATTAAAAATTAAAATTTAATCTTTAAAAATACCTTTTATTATCTAGGTCTTTGGTCCTTTGATTTAACTGTGACACAACTGCTGCAAGAAAATGTAATTGAATCTGAAAGAGGCATTATAAACGGTGTACAGAACTCCATGAACTATCTTCTTGATCTGCTGCATTTCATCATGGTCATCCTGGCTCCGAATCCTGAAGCTTTTGGCTTGCTTGTATTGATTTCAGTCTCCTTTGTGGCAATGGGTCACATTATGTATTTCCGATTTGCCCAGAAAACCCTGGGCAACCAGCTGTTTGTTTGTGGTCCTGTTGAGAAAGAAGTTACGGATGAAAATCAAGCTAATACATCTGTTGTTTAAGACAGTTTAACTGTTTCTGTCCCTGTTACTAAATTGTGTAGAGTACATGTGCTTATTTTATACTCCGGAATTCCAATAAATGCCTGGGTGTTTCTCTGGTTTTTCCACAGCTGTGCCTTGAGGGCTATGAGCTATTTAGCAAACCTAAGTCAGCAGAAATGAGCTGGTTATTTTCCCTTATATTTGGGCATGGAAAAAAAATAGGAGAAGAAAAAGTCAGTTTGAGAATAGGGAGACTATAATGATAAAACTAAATCTCTCTACTCTTATGAGTTGATAAAATTTCATATAAGAGTGGTTAATCGTGTGAATTAAGTTATTCCTTCACAGGTATTTATTATCTGTACTAGAATTTAGATAAATCACTTTCCCTCAAACTCACTCTCACTCAAGTCTGACTAATTTATTTTTTTTTGTATCTGAATTCTCAGTTATATTATAAAAACAAGTTCTTCTCCAAATATGAAGATTACAGTTTGATAACCAGTATTATTCTTATCGATGCTATTGATCTTAAGGGATTTAACATGTATGGAAAAAATGAAATACTTAAGTAGAATTTTCTAATAAGGCTTGTGGCTTAACCTTAGTGACCACTTTTGCATTTTTATTATCTGATAGGGAAAAATATTGTATTAAGTATATGTTGCTCTTCATAAAATGGCTGTCATGTAAGCTGCAGGTAGAAACAAAGCCACAAAGTAGATTTATAAGGCGTGAGCATATAAGGACTTAAGTATGTCAGTGGTTTGGCTGTAGAACTAGAAGGTGAAAGCTAGACACCGGTGAGAGGTCCTCATTTAACTCATGCCTCTATCATTAATGTCATCTATCTTGGAGTATGAGAGAGTAAGCCTTCACTTTGGTAGGTTACATGTAGAAAGATAGCCACACTTGGAAAGTATTGGAAAGGTTTTGTTTTATAAATCATTTGAGTTACTTTTAACACACTCAGGTAGAACACTTTTACTGTTTTGCCTAAGGATTCCCTACATTGTTTAGAACAAGGATGTTCATAAAAGTTTCATTTTCAAATATCTTTGAAAAAACAAAGAAAAAAATGTTTGTATATGTTTTTCAAAACTGTTTTACAAGCCATTTTGCAACATGCTAGTACCAACATGGTACTTTGCCCTAACTTTTATGCACTTTCACGGAGACTGCAATATGTTGCTATTTGCACTTTCTTTATTCTTGAGGTTTAATCTTTTTCTTCATCTTTCTACAGTATGACAGAATGATTTGTGATGTAAAATCTTTGTAAAATATTTCTACATAAAAATGTTTTTTAAATCTTAATTCTTTTTTACTGGATTGTGTTCTCCAATTATTTAATGTTGTTTTTGTTGCAAAACATCTGTTTTGGATGAAGTGTTTTTCTTCATAGAGGTCTACAGTTTCGTAATTCATATTTCTATTTTATGGTGGGCCGGGTAAAAATGCAGTAAACATTGAGCCGTGCAGGCATTCTTTGACCTTGAATAAGTCACACTAAGCTCTCAAATTCTGTTTTTCCTTCTGTAAATTGGAGATGACTACAAAAAGAGTCTTACCTATCTCACAACTTCCTGGATTGAATCTAATAAGAGAGGCCACCTGGAGTACTTTGTGAGCTGTGGGTCAAGGTGGTATTATTACCAGAGGTGGTCCTAAGTAATAAGGAGGAGACTGATACTCCAGAAAGAGTTCAACCACAGGCTGTATTCAGCAGACATTTCTTGAAGACTTGATCTATGCCCCAGACATCCTGGCAATGCAGATTTGACTCAGATGTGATCGGTAATTTTCCTCGCCCCTAAAATTGGAAATTTGGGTTGGCATCACCATGCAGCTACTGATTTGTGCCAGTTACTTGCCCAGGTGGCAGATACCTCTGTTAGGTCTGGCTGTGGTCTTAAGTAGGCCCCTTGCTCCATCCCAGGAGGGTTGAGCTGAGGTTACAGATCTGTCCTGAGTGTTTGCAGCTGTAACTGAAGGTCATGACCTTGTAAATGAAGAGAACTATATTAGCAAGATTAGCAAGGAAAGATCCCTGTTCTGAATATGGGCATTTTGCCTGACTATGGGCCTACAGGGAGAGGCCCTGTGGGAGGAAAGAGCATGGAGTTGGCAAATGAATAGGAATTTTTACTGTGGCTGTCCTTATCTTTGCAGACTACTGCTCAAAGCAGGAAGAGGGAAGTGGAGGGGAATCACTGCAGGCCTGGACAGCCTTTACTGTTTACTGCCCCAAGCTTTACAAATAGGGCAGGGATAGATGACTGTGCATGGGGGTGGGGGACAGTCTCTGGTGTGCTTCTAGATAGGGAGACAACCCTACAGGTTCAATGAAGTGCAATATAAATGAATGAAGTGGATTAGAAATAGGAAAATATTCTTTTACTTAGTATGTAATTGCATTTTCAAAAGTATCATTTATTTTGTTCCACTTAAAAACAAATTAATTACTTCTTTAATATTCTTTTCTGTGCAGGCTTCTTATTGTGGTTTTTAAGTTGGTTCTTTCAGCATAGACTGTTTTTATTTGCAGATTAAGCATAGGGAAATAATCTTCATTCTCTATATTAGTGCATATTAACTGCAAAAAATGAGTTGCACTGTGACATTTCATACATATATTTTGATCATATCCACTCCTCACTGCCCTCTTAACCACCGCACCCCACCCCCATCCTCTTCCTCTCCCCTACTACTTTTGTGCCTTTATTTCACTCCTAGATTCCACAAATGAAAGAACATGTGATACTCATCTTTCTGGGTCTGGCTTATTTTGCTTTTTTTCAAAGAAATATGCCTACCTTAACTTTTTCCCGAAACATCTGACTTGCTCAGTATTCATTTCATTGTCCACCACCCTGCGTATAAGTTAAGAAGTTACTTTTCTGTATACTTAAAGCAAAAACAGTGCAGGAGGAATACTGATGGTACCTGGCGGTGGAAGTCTTGTCGGGAAGGTAAAAGGTGTGGTCAGGGCTCTGGTGAACTGCAGATGGTGCTCTCAGTTGTGTGTGACCTGCGTTGTCATAGATGAATGTAAGGCTTGTATTGCCAGACTGATCTTTCGAGAGAAGCTGGGAATCTGGAATTTTGTGGGAAATCTCTGATTTCTTGATGATAAAAATAATTTGCTAGTCAAACAAACTACATCTGTGAACTACCTATGAGCCACCCGTGGGTTTTTTTTTTTTAGATTTTCTCTAATGGGGTAGTAAGCAAGAGGATGGTGTCTGGATAAAGCTAGTAAATTTAGGAAGAGAGGATATATATATATATATATCCACAAGAATTGCAAAGCCAGGAGTTCAAGAAAGAACTGGGCAAACTTTTGCGATGAAACATTTCAAACTATTAGGTATCCGTTTTGGAGATCACTTAAGGTCAGATAATCTATGCATTTATTACCTGCCATATTCGTGCCAGGAGGTTTCCCATCATTCCTTTATTCCATGTGTTGTTAGCACTGTTGGGTTATAGAATAATGATGATTTAAAAACTTTCAGAGTTTGCCTGAATTATAAAGATAGTGCTCTCTGTTTTAGAAAAGAAAAGTGTTGTAGCATTTTAAAGAGTCAAAGTGCCATCTTCACATCTCACTCCCCGATTTCCAAGAACACTTTGGGCTTATTGATATAATTCCTTTTTATGAGGTTTTTAAGAATACTTTTTTTATATCATTTTGTTTGTTCAAGATTATATCTCTATTGATCTATCTATATACAAAATTCTAAGGAAGAATATTGGTCATGTTTACGTCTAGTACATTTGTATATTCATCAAAAAGTTTAAAGATATGTAATAGAGGAAAGTAGGTATACAAATTGTCTAATATGTTTACCGTGATTAAGAAATACATTTAGAGGGATAGCAGTATGGCTTAAGTGGTAGAATGCCTGCCTATAAGTGCAGGGTTCTAAGTTCAGACCCCAGTAAAGCCCATCCTCACAAAAGAAAGAAATTTAGCCTAAGATTCTTCCCAGCCGAGACAAAAAGTTTTACCTTCCCCTTCAAATGATCCTTCCTTCAGTTAAACATTCATAATAGCATCAGTTAAACATTCGTAATGTCTTCTTTCTTCTTCTTGATCCACCTCTCAGAATAATCTTTGCTATCAGAACATTTTGGTTTTACAAGATAGCAATTCAAGAATAGAGTTGAAATGTTAGAATCTTGTGACAACACAGACATTCATCGCAAGTCTGAACTGGCTACATTTAGTCACACTTTAAAAGTTAAATGATCTTTTTCCTTATGTGGAGACTTGCTTACATTTTCCAGGTCCAAAAAGGGAGCAAGTATTTTATCTAAAGAATGGAGAAATGGGAGAGCAAAGTACAGCTGAGTGCTTTGTTCACATTCTTCACCAGGCCTCCATGTGAGTTAGCATATCTTTTTCTATTTGAACAATTTCCTTACTGAGTTTTGCTAGGAGGAAAGTGGAAAAGTGCACTGCAAAGTTCTCAAAGTAATTATGTTCAAAATGTGGTTGTCATGCATTCACATATGCAGTTGTAGTGATGATACCAAAGTTGATTAATTTGTAGACTGAAGATGTGAAAGAATGAAAGTTTTATAGTTACTAAAATACTTGGAGAAATCTATATTTTGGAGAACTAATTGTTAAAGCCCCTATAATAAGTCATCCCTAATAGTGATGTTGCACTTAATTCATACCTAAGGGAATAGTTGAATATGTACATATTCTAGATAGAATGACTGTACAATAACAGATTTAATGTTTTATTTAGTATTATGTGTTTACCAAATAGATATACTTTTTTTTGGTTTTTTGCATTTCTGGGATTCAAACTCAGGTCATTGTGCTTGCTAAGCAGATAGTCAACCAGTGGAGCAACACTCCAGCCCTTTTTGCTTTAGTTACTTTTTTTGGATACGATCTCATGTTTTTGCCTGGGGTTGGCCTTGTCCCAGGATCTTCCTACTTATGGCCTCTCACTCATCTCTGGGATTACAGACATGAATCACCAGCCCACTTTAATTGTTTAGATGGATCTCACTAACTTTTTTGCCAGGGCTGGCTCAAATCACAACTCTCCCAATTTCTACCTTGCTAGTAGCTGGAATCCCAGGGACTTGCCACCATGTCTGGGAGACATTTTCTTATTTGTTAATTCTAAGGTATTAAAGTAAAAGATATTACAGTAGAAGGAATTAATATTTGAACAATTATTTTTCAGTATTTTTGGGTGGGGAGGGGTGGCCAGCAATAGGGTTTGAATTCAGGGCCTTGCACTTGCTAGGCAACACTCTACGCTTAGGCCACACCCTCAGCTCAATAGGGTGTTGTGCTTTTGCCTGGGGTCAGCCTTGGATTGTGATCATTCGGTCTCCATCTCCTGTATACCTGGGATTGCAGGCCTGTACTACCATGCCCAGCTTGGTTTTTGAGATTGGATCTTGTTAACTTTTTTTTACCTGGACTGACCTTAGGCCTTGATCTCTGCCTCCCTCATAGCTAGGATTACAGGCATGCACCACCATACCTGGCTAGCATTTTATTCATTTATTCCTTATCATAACTCAGAGAAGAACATATTACCTGTGCTTTATAGAGGAGAACCTGACTCAGAATGAATGTCCTCCAATTGTACAGCTAGCAAGAGCCAGGGTAGAATGTAAATTTCCATCTGTCTCCAAAGCCTTCTTTCCTTCATACCACAAAAAACTACCATGAGCTTTTTTCTATTTCTTTTCTTTCTTTCTTTTCCTTTTGTTTCTTTCTTTTTTGTGGTACTGGGCTTAGAACTCAGGGATTCACACTTACTAGACAGGTGCTCCACTGCTTGAGCCATTCCATCAGCCCCATGAGTTTTTTTCTAACGGTAAGTGTCATAAAATCCTTAGTATTCTATTTATTTATTTATTATTGTACTGGGGATACATTGTGACATTTATAAAAGTTCTTACACTATAGCATAGTTGAATTCACCCCCTCCATCATTGTCCTTTATAGTTCCTGCCCCATTCCTGGAATAGAATCAACAGGTCTTATTTTTCCATTTTCATACATGAGTGCATAATATTTCCACTATATTCAACCTCCTATGCCCTTTTCTTATGTATTTCCCCCTCCCACTGGTACCAACCCTCCCCCTCAAGACAGGACCCGTTTTACCTTTCTGTCCTCTGTTGTTGAAAAAAGACATTTTTGTTTAAGACAGCTATGCAGGGAGTTTCATTGTGACATTTTCATGTATGTATGTATTATAACCTGTATTGGTCATCCCCTCTATTTTTCTCCTTTCTGCCTT